AGCTCCTTCTTGTCCCCAGCTGACGTTACAGTACTATACAAACTAAAATCAGTGCTTTTATCACATCATACAAAAACCAATATGTACAGCCTCCTTTATATTATCTGAATGCAAGTGAATGGCCTTCCTCAGCTTGATAAATATAAATGATAATTACACTGTATGTATGCAGTGTCATTTTCATGGCTACAGTAACGGTGTACTCATCAAGTTAACTGTTGTGAGGCAAAATTACTGAAAAGATGCCTCATGGCAAAGAAACAAGAGAAGTCAGACAATCTAGTGGGTATTAATCAAACCCCTGATGTATATGAAGCCTAAAACAAAGGTAGTCTATAAAATATTACCACTGTAAATGTCCATTTCAATGTGGCTTTGTGGTTCATCTTAGCCTACTGTATACAGTAGTAGTGGTGCACACAACAGGGTTTACCTCAGACATTTCAGGTGCAGTACTTTACAGTTTGACCTCAAAATAAAGTAATTTAGATGTTTGTGTCACATCACATGCATCATGTATCCCTGCATTATTAGCTGCTGTGCTCTGCTGCTATATTACTACAACACTGTGATCTGAGGTCTTACAGTAGGTTGTGGTTACTCATTCTTTCATGAAGGGAAAATGGAGGCGAATCTGCAAGTGAAAGGTAGTTTTGTTTCACAGAAACAGAAAAAGAGATGGTGGTTACATTTAAAGGTGGTTATTCACCCTCAGCTATCACTGTATAGAGGCATATCACTAGGTGTTTGGTGGTGCTGATTAGTCTCACCAAGCTGTAGGGGTCCTCCACTTCTGTTGTGTGCCACCACCTTTATGCTTTTTGCTGCTGTGGAGGCAAAGTGAAATTCATTTAAGATATAAAAAAAATTACACACATCATGCAAATAAAAACTGTCTGAGACATGTACAGTATACTGTTGCAGTGGGGAGGGAGTGGCACTTGGCAGGGTCCCCCAGAATGCCCCTCTGGACGGACGGTATATAGTTTGGACCTGGCGGGACTTGTTCACAGTGTTCAGTGTGTAATGTGTGGCTGCTGTGGGGTTTCTTGGGGGGTGTGT